TGGCCCTCGGATTGTGTCCCCTCTGCTGTCTTAGCCCATGACACCTCATCCCGAAATCCCCTCCGCCCGTAGGCTCCAGCCCTTCGTCCCTACCCCGCCGCCTCAGGCCATAACTCCTTGGGCCTCTCAGCCTAGGTCCCGGCCGACCCTCGGTGCGGTTCTTACCCAAAGAGGCCCGAGAAGAAGGACTGCGAGTTCTTCACTTTGCGGTCGGCCTCGGCCAGCAGCGCCATCGCCTCCGCTTCCTTCCCGGAGTTGTCCATAGTGGCCGCAAAGGTACCCAGCAAACCGCCCGACCCAGGCCCCTCGGAGGACTCAACCGGGGCCAGCCAGCCGGGTACACAGGTCAGGGGAGCTTAGCGGGCTGCGTTGACGTCGCACGGGCGCGCGCCCCCAGCTACCCGGAACCTGACTCACGGCCTCCAATCGGCGACCCGATGCTTCCACGCATGCGCATAACCGGCGTCGGGCACCTCACTTTCTTCCGCTTGCGCCGCAAAACACCGTAGTTGATTCTTTGTAAGCCAATCGTCGTCCCCACGGTCAATGCCCCGCCTCGAAGTGCCACCTTTTTGGATCTTCCTCTACCAATCAGCAGCCCCTCCACTCGGGTTCTTCCCTCCCTGCGGGCTCCAGTCAGCTGACCGCTGGCCCTCACGTGACCCCTCCCGGCCCCTTTGGGAAAACACTTCCCTCCCACTCCCGAGTTTGACAGTTCTCTCGCGCGGAACTCCGCCTCCGTTCCTTAACCGGAGTCGCTCCCTTTCCTACGGAGGAAGGAAGCCTTTCTTGCGCCCTCTGCTGAAACTCGTTTGGGAAGGCGAGTTAACTGCTTGAGAGGGGAAACTAAACTGAGAAGAGGTTCTCTAACTCTGGTTTCATTAAAAAAAAAAAAAGTTGGAGTGTGTTAAAAATTCAGATTCGAGCACACCTAGTATCCAGGGTGTAGTTTGTTTTTTAAACCCGAGTGAGGATATTTTTTCCATTGATTTTTTAAAAATATATTATGGACGAAAGGGGCCACATGCTGACCTGACAAGCTCAGAAGAGGCCTGCATGGCAGTTTTGCAGACCTAAAGTAACCACAAAGGATGGTCTGAAATTAAACCTTAACTAAAAGCAGTTATGGTGGGCAGTGACGTACTAAGCCGGACCGTAACTGAGCCTATCTGTCTTTTTGCATCTAAGATAACATCCTTGGGATGTCTGGGTAACTTGTGACTTCCCTTTTTATGGAGTCCCTGGGGCACAACCAGGTGTTCTGGGTCCCAGGACAGATACCACAAATTCCTTCATCATCATGTTAATTGTTCCTGCACCCACCTAAGTATGTGTCCATCATTTTACTTTTTATCCAATCCCAGGGGTTCCCC